AGCAGGTTTTACAGTTACTTTCAAAATGAACTCAGGAAAGGTGACAATTTTAATTGTAGAGCTTAACTGAGAATATAAGATGGAAGAAACGGGTAAATAGAAGAGTGGAAAAAATTACATTCTCAACTATCTGTTGGAGGGAATCCACAGTTTCAGTGAGGTTCTATGAGATTCAAGATAATTCTGCATTTTACTTTGTAATCTTTGACTTAACAACTTAACTGTGTGACCCCAGTGTTTTGATTTCCCAATTTAACTATACCAATTACACTGAATTCATTACATGGCAGCGTCTTCTACTTTCTGTTGCCATATCCTTTTACACTATCAAACCCCCAAAACCTTCTGTTAGCAAGTTTGATATAGTGTGGGAGCTTTCCTTTGGCTGTATGACTCTAGCTTCACAGTTCTATTGACTGCCTAAAATTGAATGCAGAAATTTTTATGTTCATTTTTCTGGGAAGAGGGTTTAGTAACTTTCATCAGATTCTCAAAGGGATCTGTGACTTCCCAAAAGGTTAAGGATCCCGGGTTGAGAGAAAAAAGAATGCTGAATCAATTATCAGTAGACCTGGGTTCTACAAAAGTAGAGTTCCACACTTTATAAATTTTTACATCCATTCTCCATTGCAGGCATTAAGAAGGTAGAAATCGTCTCCATTTTACAGATGAGCAGACACTGAGAGCTAGCACTACAGCCAACACTAAAATCTAGCTTTCCTGGATCCTGATCCATTTTCTTTCTGCCTCTACTCAAAAACAGTGGGCCAAATGGAATGTACTGTGGCATTTTGATAATAACCCATTAGTTGTAACACCCCACCGACCAAACCCTGTGCTTTTCTTTAAATTCGTGGGTTTGGAGGATTTTTTTGGTTTGTTTTCTGGTTTCCCAGAACCTTCATTATCATCTCCGAGTTCTTTTTTGTTTTTAGACCAAAGCTTCAAAGACAAGTGGGATTGAGTCTTCATTGATTGGTTTGAACATTTTATGAGACCCTCTAACCTGTTTTACAGCATGTAGACATTGTAAAACCACCTTTTATTACTAAAACTTGGGTTTGTTTCATTGAAATTAGTAGTTTGGTGCAGTTGAAGGAGCATTACACTGGGAGTCAGAGAACTTGGGATCTAGTATTGACTTTGTAAAATCTTAGGCAGATCATTTTACCTCTCTTCATTTAGGGATTCTCCTCTGGAGATTGGGTGGGGTTCTATAGGAATGACCCAGCTTTTTAAACTTCATTTACCCCTTCCTGTCTCCCCCACCAAGAATATAATTCTGCATCATCTCCCACTTCCACCCCATCATTGTCAGGAGTGGGCCATTGTGTGCGTTACTACCCTCAGGTGCACTGAGATTGAAAAAGTTCGAGTACTATTGATCTCAAAGCTCCTTTCTAGTTCTTCTTACTGAAAGTTCATCAAACCTGAGTTACAGGCCAGTGTAAAAGCTGCAAATATTAACTTCTCAGCATACAATATTGCGGGGAAAGTTCACTTGGTACTCTAAAGGACATGGGAGATCTCAAATGCATAATTTCTTGGTTGTTGGTCAAGAATTACTATGTTTTAGTCCTTTTTTTTTTTATCATAGATCACTATTATTTGGAGGCCCTCCACAGTGCCGTACAAATTCCAGCCTTCCCTTCAGTCAGCACACTACTGTTGATAATGACTTGCAAGAACTTGTCATAGTTAGTAAAGCTGTATATTACATGAAGACAAGAGCTAGCTCTTATTCTGCTCACCATTGTATCATCAGCCACAGTACCTGGTCCATAGTACCCATTCAGTAAGTGTCCAGTGGGTGACTGAATGAACAGATGGATTTGGGGAGAATAAGGACCGACAGCCCCAAAGCTGTTCCATTGACTTTAGCATATCCTAGTTGCTAAATGCTGAAACAAAGAGGTGAGAGAAGTTCCTGGAAGTCTTTTTGGGTGGTGAGAAGTGAATGGTTAAGAAGCCAAGGCTGGTTTGGGATTTGGTTGGGACTACCCACTTAATTTTTAACTACCTGTAGCAAAATAAATCAGGTAGTACCTTATCTGAGTGAGAATTAAGCTGAAACAATTTGGTCGAAGCTTAAGCTATCAGAATATTTGGGTAATGACCTATTCCATTACTTATCTTCTGATCCACTGATGAATAAGCAGGAAAAAAAACACTTTCTTTTGTTCCCTTATTGGAAATCTCTTTAACATAGGAGTCAATTTTCCTGCCCAAGTAAAATTTAGTGAACACGATTTTGTTACGATTCTGTATTTTATACAGTCTCAGGATTCATCACAAACATAAATATATGGTATATTATGGATGTACTAATAGAAGATTAAGGAGACTGGGATAAAAGTTGCACTGACCCAGAGTGGCCTTATAAGTAGGTGGAGTAGTTAGATGGTAACCTGCATGGTTTGATTTGAGAGGGGCTGAGAAAGCTTCTTTCTCCAGGAATATCTCCCCTCTGGATTGTTCCAGTGCTTGAAATTCCACCATTTTTAGTATCTTTGGATTAAAGAATTATCTGTCTTCAAGAGTCCCCTCTTAGGGACTTCCCTGGTGATGCAGTGGTTAAGAATCCGCCTGCCAGTGCAGGGCACACGGGTTCGATCCCTGGTCCGGGAAGATCCCACATGCCATGGAGCAACTAAGCATGTGCACCACAACTACTGAGCCTGCACTCTAGAGCCCGCGAGCCACAACTACTGAGCCCACATGCCACAACTGCTGAAGCCCATGTGCCTAGAGTCTGTGCTCTACAACAAGAGAAGCCACTGCTATGAGAAACCTGCACACCATAACGAAGAGTAGCCCCCGCACACTGCAACTTAGAGAATGCCCACGCACAGCAACGAAGACCCAATGCAGCCAAAAATTATAAAAAAATTTTTAAAGAGTCCCCTCTTAAAAGATAAATTTTCCTAAGAGAGCTAGTTTATTATCAACCTGAATGACATCACCAGATGATGAAAGATCATGTTCACTGGACAAGAACAGGTCACAGAACAGCTACCTTTTGAAAGGGTGGCAAGGGTAGAGATAGGTTGAGCAATGAATCCTGCCTGAGGGACGCAGATCCAAATGGGTCACTGAGCCAGTAGGTGCATGACAATCTTGGGTGTCTGGAAAATAATGCCAGAAGGCCAAGAAGGGCACTGAAAGGAGAGACCCAAAG